GTAATCAGTTTTCTATATGAGACCTAAAATTTGAATCACCAAGCATGTTGGCTCCACTGGTTGAACTTGTAATCAGGGTTTAATTAGAAGCAAATATAAATAAGAATTTCGCCTGGAGCTTGTTTAAGGTCGATGACTACAATTATGGATTGGTGCAGTTTAAGCTGTGACAAATACTGAAAAGAGCGATATCTGATGTAGACCTTGTTTCCTATTAATCTGATTTATTTCACCAAGTGCAGCTGAGAAATTTCCTGCTTCTCTTTGTTAAAACTGTTTAGCTGGATTTGACATGGCATTTTAAAAAAGTTTGTGTTTAATGACTCATGCCCCAGTTTGGGCAGTAAGCACCAGAGTCTCTGTTGTAATGTTTACTGCTTTTTGAGGGAATGGAAAACATGAATCTGATTGCATGATTTCGGGGATTAAAACCTGATTATTTCTTTTTGTTTGTTTACATTTTTTTTTTTTAGCAATTGTTTAAATAACCATATGTTTTGCTGGTAAATGAATTGTTTAAGTAACAAAAAACAAGCTTGGATACTGACCAGAATAGTCACAAGAGGCCCCTGTAAATATAGCTGTCATGTTTTTGGACAGAGAATAACTGTGTTTAAGTGTTGAAAGAGGTCATCAGAGAGTATTTATATGTTGGCTGCAGTAACATAGATTTGGATGAATGTGTCTCAGCCACATTACAAGGAAAAACAAACACAGACAGCGTTTCCTCGATAGGTCCTTGGATTTGGGAAGGGCCTGCTGGCTCTCTACCTCTCTTATTGTGCCAGATCAGCGGGGCCTCGAGATGAATCATTAATGACCGGTTCCAACGGCTTAATGGCCTCTAATGTTCTGTAATGATCTCCCGTCAACGCCATGTACGCGGCCTTAATGGATCCAATGCCGTGGAGAATTGTCTGGTTTGAACTTCCATAATTCGCCCTGTTTTCGACGAGCGGCGCAAAACAGGAAGTGCAAAAAGCCACGAGCAAAAGGCTCCAGAGCTCCGCGGGCGCAGCATGACTTTCCCTCTCCGCCGATCCACTTCAGGTAAGATGAGAAAGGACAAAATTAGCTAGAAAAAGGAGCCACATCTGTGCCTAAATATCACCAATATGTTCTGGTAATAAGATGTGTAAACGAGACGCGCTAAACTAAGTTCAAACAGCGCAACTCAGGCGCCGGACGTGTTTGAAGTGGCTTCTGAATTACGAATGTGAATTGTGGGCCTTAGAATATTTAAAATGTTTAACTTAATGTTGATAATTTTCTGTTTAAAAAAGTTTAACGTGTTGTTTTTTGTTTTGTTTTGTTTTTAAATAAAAAGGGTTTAAAGATGAAGCTCTGTCCGTGGTTCTGAAAACAGGGCAGGACGCGCCCTTCTGTTGGGCGGACAGCTGGACTTCAGCACACCTTAGCAACGCGCTGGCTCTTTAAAACAAAAAACACATTCACAATGAATCGCCTCGGCTCTGAGTTTATTTCACGGGCTTAACTTAAAGAAAAGAAAAAACACAACATGAAACTCAACAGAGAAACATTCTGAGTGAGTTTTGGGAGCGTTAATGAATTCTATTATAAGTTTAACACCAGTCCGTTTAGGCACAGCGAAGACTCGGATAATCCCTTTAGTGTAGAGTCGGCCTGCAGTGCAGTTTCTTACACGGTCTCCTCCACTAAAACCACTTTGCATCCAGAGTTTTACGTTAAATAAAATATTCCAAGCGCGATTCAAACAACGCATTGATGGATTAAATGCGCAAACAAATTCCGGGTCTGAGCATTTCACTGAAGCATTTGGCCTCGTAATGTCGTGGCGGCCAGTAGCAAAGAATTTAAAGTGTTGAATTTTGTACCGCAAGCTGTGAATGTTTTTGTGCGTGGCTGATTTCACTATTTCACTATTTCCGACTCTTCTGTGGTTAGACTGAGTTTCTCACAGTTTTTTTTTTTTTTAAAAAATCGTTTTAAAGTTTGTTTTAAGTATTTTTCTTTTTTCCGACTTTTTTTTTTTTTTAATGTATTCAGTTCTTAAACTACCAATTGGTGGCGCTAATGAACTCCAACCAAAGCTTAAAGACCTTCACTTCCTTATCATAGAGTACATACTCACATTCTTCAGACTGTTTATCTCCATTTCAGACATCCCTGTGTCATTTCTAGCTACACCTCTAATAGATGTTAATTATCGATAGCCATTTATTTATTTTTAAATCTTTGTACCTTGTCTCTTTATTCATTGCTTTTCTGTTGGTTGATTTTATTGATTTGCTTGCTCTCTGTAAAGATGAAATGAGTTATCGTGATGGCTGAAGGCTGTGTTAATGTTCCTCAGGATCACTTTATATCTGATGTTTTTTACGTGGCTCTTATTTTGTGTGGCTCAAGCTTTTAGAGGCCTGTGGTTGGGTTTAAAGCAGTGAGCTCATAAAAGAAACATGAAGAACTAGATTTAGCTTTCAGTCACTTCTTTACTCCAGCTGTTTCCCTTCATGTGATTGATGTTTTAGTTGACGTTACCGGTTACTTATGAAATATTTTTGAGTGTTGTCTGAAAGAGCGTGGGTTTAACTGCAAAGTAAAACTATTTTTATCTGTGCATGTTTACAAGAGTCCTTACCTAACCAAAGGGCCATCGGTGGTACTTCAACTTCCTCGGTCAGCGGCATGGTAAATGCTCCACTTTAGCAGTGTGGAGACCTCAGTGTCTGTCCACGGTCCATCACGTTCTCCAGCTGTCTTATCCTCACAGTGGGTTAGAGCTCACTGGGTTTGGATCCTCTTCATTTGTGTAGTTTACTGCTCACCACATCCTCTTACTCCCCCAGCCATCGATCTCTCCCGCTGGAGAACAGCATGCATTGACTCTGCCCGCTGTTCAGCGGCAGTTGCCACATGCAGGTCGACCTTCGTCTGCCGGCTGTGTGTCCACCGCCTCCTCTTCCTCAGTACCAGTTGGAATTAGCAGTCACCATCCGCCACTGCAGCTGTTTTTGTCTCTGACAACTGTGCATCTGTTTTCCTGTGGGGGCTGCCTGTGGCCAGCCGACATGCACCGAGTGGCTGATTGCTGCTGCCTAGTGTGTGTGTGTGTGTGTGTGCACCTCTGCTCTGGTGCAAATGCTAAAAGGGAACATCTCGAGAACGACACAGCTCGCAGAGACACAAGTGCCGCCGTCTTTTTCACCTCCTTCTTGCATGCTGCAGCCTTTTCAGCAGTGGTGAACCTCTGCACCAAAATATTAGAGCCCCTCCTTTCTCTACCCCCCTTCTGATTTCTTCCCCTCATGCACACTTGCTAGGTCTTTCTCTCACTCTCTCTCTCACCCTCTTCCTTCATTGTCCCTTCACTTCATTTCTCTTATTTCATTATCACGTAGTTCCCCCTCATATAGGTCATTTTTCCTGATGTGTGGAATAGTCTTGCACTTTCTTCTCCTGTCTTCTACTGGATTTATTTTTCCCTCCTTTTTCATTCATCATTCTCTTTTCCAATCCATTTGCAGGTTATTTTCTACAAGCGTCTCCCTCTCTCTCTCTCCATCTCTCTCTCTTTCTCTCTCCAACACACTCAGTATCTCATTTTCTCTCTGCCGCCCACCCCCTCTTTCATTATCCCTCCTCTCATTCATTCACCTGTCTGTCTCCTCTCTTATTTCATTGTTTATTTTCCCACCTCCCATTTTATCCTCTCCTTCTGTCTCTCTCAGTCTGCCTATCACACATCAGCATATTTAGTGTATCATGTAAATATCATGCCACGTGGGGGTACAGGGGCTACAGGTGCCCTATGAGAAAGCACTGCCCCCCCCCCCAACCCCCCTCTCACACACACACACACACACACACACACACACACACACACCATCCAGCCTCCACCAGTCTCATCCGACACCCCCTCTCCTCACACACACACACTGCACGGACACGCATACACACACACACCCGCTCCACCTCCCCTTCCTCACTCTTCTTCCTCGCGGCGGGCAGGGCTGCAGCAGTTTTATGAACGGCACGGCTGCACCATGATCCCTTTCCCACTGAGCCAGCCCCGAGCTGTTTCATTGACAAACATCCCAGTTGCTGCATTTCTGTCACGGACAGCGTCAAGAAGAGGAGCATCGCCGGGGGAACGGTGCAGAGCGGCAGCAGCAGCAGAAGAAGAAGAAGGAGAAGAGGAGGCAGCAGCAGCTGGAGCGATCGTCAACAACCCCCGGTGTCGTTCACGCCAGCTTACACTCTGTTGATTTGCCACTCGGACCTGGAGAATCTCACGCGCCGTCGTTCTCCGTCCACGCTCTCTCTCTCTCTCGGGACACTCGGAGGAATCACCAGAGGGGGGAATCAGAGCGCTCTTTGCCACTCAGACCCCTTGCGGGGATGTGAGGCGGCGTCGTTAGCGCTCAGTCACTGGCACGGTGCTGGATCTAACGACTTCCATGAAGCGCCGGGACGCACCGATGGAGGATTCTGGACGCTTTTTAAAATCACGGATATCCGCGAGACTGCATCGGTCGGTGTGTGATGCGAACTGAGCCGTGGGTGGTGTAGACCCCCACCCCTCAACCGCTCTCCCCGCGCTCCACACACCCTGACCGCCTCGTCCGCGATCGCCCTCTCCAACCCAGGACGCGCAGCCTTGTTTCACTCCACCGGGGGAACATGTCCCGGGCAGCGGCTATCGCCAGCTCCCTGATCCGCCAGAAACGACAGGCGAGGGAGCGGGAGAAGGCAAACGCATGCCGCGGAAGCGGCAGCCCGAGCAACAGCAAAGGCGCAAACGAGAAACCGAGCAAACTGAACGTGTTTTCGCGTGTCAAGTTGTTTGGCTCGAGGAAGAAACGGAAGAGAAGGCGACCACCAGGTCTGTGAGGAGGGGGGTGGGGGCAGTCGGATAGCCGGCGGGTAGCATCATCACCTCGTCCATCTTCACCATCACCTTCAGCATCATCGCCATCCTCATCTCTGCCACCATTCAGCATTATTTTTTTTTTTCTCATCACTAAGGCAGGTTCTTCATCACTTCATCACTCCTCACTCCGAGGACAGTGTCACAATCCTGTTGCATGAACCCACAAACGTCTCACATGAGTAACTTTATATTGTCCCACAGCAAAGTGTTGAAAAGCACAACCCTAAGTGATCCTACTCATGATACATGTGTCAATTATTAGCTGATTTATTTTATTTATTTTTTTTAAAAAGGCATCTTTTTTTATGAGTTCCACAATGTTTAGTGGAACTGCCACAGATCGATACTGGTGGTCAGGGCCCTCAAGCATCAGTGACTGGAAATACAAACAGCGTCTCCTCCTCTGACACTTCTGGCTTCCTAGAGGCTGCTGGATTTGATGCATGTGATCACATGACAGCAGTAAGAAAAGAATGCACTTAATGTTTCTGTTTTCCTCTTAGAGCCCCAGTTAAAGGGCATTGTGACCAGGCTTTCCAGTCGCCAGGGCTTCCAGCTGCAGATGCAGCCTGATGGCACCATTGACGGAACCAAGGATGAAGACAGCACCTATGGTGAGGCTGGCGTTAACTAGATTTGTTGTGTGTGTGTGTATTTTACCCGACTCAATCATTTTGACCTAGGTTAACTAGGTAACCTAGAACTAGGTTATTTAGATTATTTATACTTTAACATGATTTATAAATAAAAGCAAAGTACAGGCTGAAACTGACTTTCTTCAGTGCAGATCTATATTACTTCTCGCTTACAACAGAATGTTGCAACATGTTACTGCTTTAAGGGTCGATTTAATTTAATTCCCACATCCCTATTGTTGAGTTTCATCTTGTGGAAATCTGTTTACTGCAGTGACTTTAATTTAGTCAGTCACTCAACAACAAGTCAAGTACTCATAATTAGCAAATGTCAAGTGGTGACACTGCAGTCTTTCTATATGAAATGCTTCCTGGTTAAAATAATTGATCAAATGTCTGCACAACATACAGCGCCACGTTCAAATCCTTAGCATTCAGAAAGCTACTACACCATTCATTTTTACCCCCTCCATTTCATTCTCTCCATCACACACACACACACACACACACACACACACACACACACACACACACACAAAGTGCAATGTTTGATTGATACGGCTAATTCAATTCTGTTGTTGTGGTTCAGACTGCAATCACTCTCCTTATGCACAGTTGGTGTTGCCAGCATCTCACATTAATCTCTGCTACTTCTCAGGCCACCGACTGTTGTCTGCATGCAGAACGACTACAGAGGAAGCACACTCTTTAATGAGATGATTACATGGTGTATACATCATGTAAACGCCTACCCACATTAAATCAGTCACCCGTAAATGCGTTTGAATACATAATCCCCGTAAACCACGTCTTCATATATTATGCACAGTTATTGTAAAGAACAGTATTGACTAAAAATGATGATGATTAAACAAGGGTCCTGACTCACAGAGCTATGGCTCGGTCTAATCTTTACGTTGATATGTTGTTACCGTCGTGGAGCCTTTAAGTGCTCATCCAGTTTGGCTGGAAATGGATTCAAATGAAATCTGACAGTCTGCGATTTAATGTCACATTCGCTGTAATGTGTCGAAGAGCCCAGACAGCTTAGTTTTGCTCGGGTAGCTTATGCTTATAAATCATGCTGTAAAAATTCACAAACAGACAGAGCTCATTGAATTTGCCGCGTTAAAGAAGCTCGGGAATGCACTGTTTACTCTGCATGCTCAAAACATTCGGCGACGGAGGACCACTTCTCCAGCAAATCGTCAAACATTTCCTGATTGCAGTTTCTTAACCGCAAGATTTGCCGCTTTTCTTCCGATTCACATCAGTGTAAAGTGAATATATTTCGAGGGCTTTTGGAGTGTTAATCAAACAGAAATTTGAAGGCATCGCCTTCTGTGTGGGGAAAACCGTAATGGGTACTTTTAACTACCGTCTGACATTTTATAGACTAAATGAGTGATTACTAGAAAAAATAGCTGAAAGTGATCATTAAGTGCAGCTCTAGCAGGAACATTTTTCATTTGTATGACAGATGAAATAGCGCTGATCACTGGCTCTCTGGCTTTTCTGTTGAAGGATGTCCTTGCACTATCAAATGTTTACCAAAACTTGCTCTGCTGCTCGCCTTTTGATAATTTTATCCCACGCTTAATACCAGGAGCTAAATTGTAAGCGTAGTTCAGCCTCCTAAAATAGCTTCTCTGTGGCAAAATGGAGGTGTCATCATGCCATTGATATTGATGAGTACTTTCCTCTGTTTCCCTCTGTGTTCGCTGTGTGAATTCTTGTTTGATTGCTTTGTGTTGTGCGCGTGGCTTTGCGTGTGCATTTGCAGCTGTGTTCAACCTGATCCCAGTGGGGCTTCGTGTGGTGGCCATCCAGGGTGTGCAGACCAAACTCTACCTGGCAATGAACAACGAAGGCTTTCTCTACACCTCTGTAGGTCACCACAGACACACACACACACACCATCACAACCAGAGTCATTAATGCTACAGACTCAAACCTGCTCTTTGGGTCAGGTTGAGTAATGAAGCAGAAGCTTTCACCGTGAGCAGACTCATTGTCATCACATCATCACATCAATACTTTAACTACAGTGTTGCTTTGTGCGTCAGCTGCCACAGGGTGTTATAATCCAGTGTCTGAGCCTCCCTTATCTGTCTCCTGATATTGTGGCTTCTCAGGATTGATTTCAGATCATCCCCCAGCCTCCTTTTGTTTATCTCCCTTCAGTGATTCTGTGATAGGAAGATTACTTTGTGTCTGTTTACACACACA